TTTGTTTTCTTCTTTCAGAGGATTATTTATTTCTATCTCGGACAGAGGCCATATAAGGTCAATTGTGAACAACTGGCCAGAGAATGACGTTAAGGTACTACCACTGTATAATTTTTTAAAATTTTTTTCTGGTTGTTATTTAATCTCAATTGAGCTTTTTAAGATTTGTTAGCATTTGATGGAAATGTAAAGACTAAATAATTCATCCTTAGCTATTTGAGGATGATGGTGAAATACAGCCAATGTCTATTTTGAAGAACGGTGTTTTATCCTAAATATGAGGTTTATGGTTTGAGTAAACAGTGAAGATGCAAAGTATTCTTGCCAAACTTTTAATTTTACTTCATATAATCCGCCTTTTGGGAAGGTATTGGGGGATGCACCTCTGGGTCTTGCTGTGTTATGTAGCAGTAGGAGAGAGGATCTTGTCCTCAGATTAGGACACAGACGTGGTAATTGGGAGGTCCAGATTTTACCATTAAATCCAGTCTGACCCAGTTGGGTCGAGAACCACAAGGGGAGATGAGGTGAATGATACTTAGACAAACTTTTTCATGTCTGGATTTACAAGTGGAAACCATAAACCCAAGTTACAAGCTGCAGTTCCCCACGGCAGCTTGGATCCTTCCCACTTAGCTTTCAAAGGTCTGGGCAGTGGATTTCCGCAAAGGAGCACAGCAGATTCTAACATTAAACATTATTGCTTCAAGTAAAATATTCCTTGTCACCCATTCTTTGTTTGACTGTGCAAGCATACCTGAATTTTTGCCTGGAAATAAAACCCACAGCTGCTATTACTCTAAACTTTATAAATTTCAGTGATCATATATAATTTCACCCGCTTTTGTTTTCAGGCTGTTGTCGTCACTGACGGAGAAAGAATATTAGGTCTTGGAGACCTGGGTGTGTATGGGATGGGAATTCCAGTAGGAAAACTGTGTTTGTATACAGCCTGTGCAGGAATACATCCAGATAAATGCTTGCCCGTGTGCATCGACGTTGGAACTGATAATACAGTGAGTTTGACTGAACTTTGCCTGCCATAAATTATCCCTGTGAAAAGTATTTATGTGGGAGTATTTAGTACTATTAGAGAAGATTTTTGTTTGAGCACTTCTTCAAGATAAAACCAAATATTTTATGGAAGGGTAAAGGATTTAGAATTCACTCTACAGTCACATATGAGTGATGGACAAACGCCAGTTAATTTGTCAGTGAAACGGTGCATTTGGAAGTAATTTGAATGCTGGAACACTGTAAAATAGACAGTCAGGTTGACCTGACTTTAAGAAGCTGGAAATGTGAATCAGATTTATTAAAGCAGTTTCTTGTTCACAGTATTGATTTGTTCCGCTTTAAAAGCAGCCATCAGCAACCTCAAGTGCCAGCTGAAATTACTGAACATTGCAATAGACTGGAGGCAGTTACAGTGGCTCTATAAATGCAGTACCTTCGGTGAGAAGTGTGTTACTATGAACTTTGGAAAGTGTGTATTGAGGAAGTGATTCATCCTGCTGCTGTCTCTGATTTATTCTTTTTCAGACACTCTTAAAAGATCCATTTTATATGGGCCTATACCAAAAGAGGGATCGCTCACAGGTCTACGATGACCTAATTGATGAATTTATGGAAGCCATTACAGACAGGTATGACACTGAATATTCTCTATGGAAGTATGGCCAAAACTGCTGGCAAAACCCCCCACGTAACACACTGTCCTTGAGACAGTCATTTAAAGAATAAAGACAGGACCAGAATTTAAGAGACGTGGCTGTATTTCTGGCTCTGGAGTGATTTTCTCCGTCACCTGCAACATGCTGCTTGTAGTTGTCTGTTAAATACACACAGAACAGAGATAGAACTGTTTTAAGCAGTGAAAGGCCTGAGGGCATCCTCTTCCCAAAGATAAGTGATTACCTGCAGAATTTGTTTTAAAAGCATGGTATTTTCTTTATGGGTTTAGTGATGGCAATATTTGCCCTGTTCTGTAGGTATGGCCAGAACACACTTATCCAATTTGAAGACTTTGGAAACCACAACGCTTTTCGTTTTTTAAGAAAATACAGAGAGAAATATTGTACCTTCAATGATGATATTCAAGGTATGCCCGTTGTTTTATGTTCCTTAATGTACATGCAGAAACTTCGCCTAAACTGATAATCTGCCACGTAGATCTGTTCAGCTCACCTAAGATTTGTACTGCTTTTACAGGGACAGCTTCAGTGGCCTTGGCAGGACTGCTGGCAGCGCAGAAGGCCACTGGTAGACCACTTGCAGAGCAGAAAGTGCTGTTCCTTGGAGCAGGAGAGGTGAGTTCTCTTCCAAGCTCTAGAGCAGAAAGAGATTTAACTGTATATTTTCTGGTTCTGTGGGATTTGAGGAGATTAAGTAGCTGAACGTGAGCCAGCAGTGTGCCCGGGTGGGCAAAAAAGCCAACGGCATCCTGGCTTGTGTCAGCACTGGTGTGACCAGCAGGAGCAGGGAGGTGACAGTCCCCTGTGCTCTGCACTGGTGAGGCCACACCTGGAGCCTTGTGTCCAGGTCTGGGCACCTCAATCCCAGAGAGATCTGGAGGGGCTGGAGCGAGGGCAGAGGAGGGCAACGAGGCTGGGGAAGGGCTGGAGAATAAATCCTGTGAGGAGCCAGGGAAGGAGCTGGGAGTGTTCAGGGTGAGGAGGAGGAGGCTGAGGGGAGCCCTCATCCCTCTCTGCAGCTCCTGACAGGACATTGCAGAGAGGCTGGGGCTGGGCTCTGCTCCCAGGGGATCAGGGACAGAACAAGGGGGAACGGCTGGAAACTGCCCCAGGGGAGGGTCAGGCTGGGCAGGAGGAGAAAATGTTTCCCAGCAAGAGTGGTGCGAGAGTGGAAGAGGCTGCCCAGGGAGGGGGGAGTCCCCATCCCTGGGGGGGTTTCAGGGCCGTTGGGATGAGCTGTGGGGGATGTGGGGTAGGGGAGAACTTTGTAGAGTCGGGCTGAGGGTTGGACTCGCTGATCCCGAGGGGCTTTTCCAACCTGAAGGATTCTGGGATTCACATTCTCCGAATTCTGTGGCTGAACTTTTTATATAAGGCCAGCTGAAATACATTGACATAAGGGACTAGCTGCTTAAAGATAATTATTTGAAAATTGTTTAACTTTTGCAAGGATTCAGGTTTTTCACTTCCTTACAGAGGCTTGAAAAAAAACATCAGGGCCTTGTGTGTAGTTGAAGGGGAATTTACCAAAAAAATTACAATTAAGTAAGAAAGAGGGTAAGAACATCCCGTTAATTTTTATAACATTGGAGAGAGCTACACAGTGATTTTCTTTGCAAGTTAAAGTGGCTGTTTGCAGCGGACAGTAGTTATTTACAGGGACAGCAGTGTCAGGACCAGCACTGTGCTTCTGGGTATATCAGCAAAATTGCTTCTGTGGTGCTGACAAAATAACTGAATTAGCTGAAAATTTCTCCAGCGGGGGAAGGTCCTGATTGCAGTAATTGCCCAGTGCTGTGTTGTTGCTGGAGCACTGAGCCCTGCTCTGCACTTCCCTCTCTGTTCTTTCTTCTGCCAGCCTGAGCAGCTTGTGCAGGGAGCCAAGGAAAGGGACGTGGAGGGAAACACTGTCAGCATCTACCTTCTGCCCTCTGCCTGCAAGGCCTTTATCGCAGGGAGAGGTTTGGGAAGTGTTTTGCTGATTAAGGATACCGATTAAACTCGGACAGCAGAGTGACAAGAGTAGGAGTATTTTACTGGGGATAATTAAATAATGTAACTGAGTAATACAGGAAACATGCAGTAAGAAAAGACAGACTAGTGCACTGAAACAAACAGGGAAATACAGGGTAATGCATCAAATCATTGCTACGTGAGAGAGGGAACAGCGGTTAAGAAAGATCCGTCACCCCTTGCCCCCGTTACCGTCACCCAGACCCGCAGTCACTGGGCAGCCCCGGTTGCACCAGGATTTGTTGAGCCTTTCCTGGCAAGTGGGAAGTCCCACGCGGTGTGTCCACCCCTAGCTGAGGCAGCCAAAGTCGCTGCGAGCGGGCCCAGCCTTACGTACCCCAAAATCAGCGAGTCAGAAGAGCTGGCACCTTTGTTTTGAGTGGAAACATCTGGTTTCATCCTCCTGTTGGATTCCACCCAAAGCCTGGCCAGGGCTCGGGGGGCAGAACCAAGGGAGGGTCTAACAAGGCCAAACCCTTGGGTTCCAGCCTTGAGCAAGGCTAAACAAGGGAGGTTGGATACATTCTCTCAGCATTTCATCCTCGCTGCTGATCATATTCTGTCCAAGCTGCACCTTTCACTAGTGAGCACACACAGCTCAC